GGGGGGGGGGAGAAGATAGAAGCTCGCGCGGATACTCGGGGCGGTCGATGCATTTTCAAAAGCTCACATTCTGGTAGCGCAAAGTCAGCGTGACTTTATCGCGAATCTCGCGAACAACTCTCGTGAATAACGCGCTCTTGGCAAGCGCGAACTTTTCCTCGTCAGGCAGAATTAATCTACGTTCACAGTGGCGATCGACGTCTCGATCACGCGGAATGCATCTCACGCTCCAGTTGTCCGAGGATGGCGATAATTAAATGCGACGTCGAGATGTACGAACCTTGTTTCTTCGCCGCGTAAACCAGCGATTCCATCTGTTCGTCGTCGCTCGATGAAACGTCGGCGTAATGCTCTCCCTGTCCCTGTTCGTCTTGAGCGCAAGTGATTGTCTGATCGACGTTCGTGTCTGTTCGATAACAAAGAATAGTGTGTCATGCAACATACACGCGCGTCATTTCGCGCCGTCAAGCGTGTCGGAAACATCTACGCGAACATCGCGAACTCTTGGACGGTGAGAATCGCGTGCTTAACGCAAAAATGTCTGTCATCTACTTTCTTCGTTGCACATACAACTAAATAGATCCGGCACGATAATGGGCAAACTGTACAGATAAATGATCATGCACGACTCACCATTTGCCCGTTGTCGAGCTTCCTCGAGCACGCTTTGCTTCGTCTGCTTGACGACCAGCGTCTCAAAACGGGCATCGTCCACGAGAGAACGTCGTCGGGCTGGATATCCGTTCTGCAAGCGAAAACGAAAGGCGCGATTTACGGATGAATCCGCAACGAGAGCTGAATCGATGCAGTCTTCAAGTGTTCAGTAAAAATGCACGGTAAAAAAACACTTTGTACTTCTTTGAAAATCGGTTCTTGTTAACATTTTTCTGTTACATTCTTTTATCCACTCACCGTGTTCATTTAACATTGTGTTTATGTTACTTCAACATTTTATGTCGCGTCGACACAACGTGTGTTCATTCAGCATGTGTAAGTGTTAAAATAACACATTTTATACTTCATACTGTCGATTAACATATTAATTTTGCGTTAATTTTCGACATAATATTCGTGATACTTTTCAATATGTTCAACTTATGTTAATATTATGTTAAATTAACACGAAAATTCGAGCGGACCGTTCGGGACACGTGAAATGCGTGGAACTTAACACAAAACTTTTTACCGTGTTGCAAATTTGTAATAACAGATATATATATATATATATATATATATATATATATATATATATATATATACGTAAACGAACGCTGCTGTAAAAATAATGTTTCTTGCATAATTAAATTCTGAAGTTTCGTTGATATTGAGATATCTGTCTGGTTGGATTCGCATCCAACCAGCGTTCGCGCAAGCCGAGACTCCGAACTTTAAAGGGCGGATGTCCTCTAACCGCCTCGCCTGGCCAGGTTCCGGTTTCCGTGGTCCATGGCCACCTTTGACATGAAACGGAGCGGAGATCTAACGCGTCAGCTCTGCCGAGCGTCGCCTAAGTCGGACATAACGAACAGAAATAGCACGGAAATGAATTTTCGCGACTTCCGTCCCCGCTGTCGTTGAAGGATCGGAAATGAATTAATTCCAGCGAAGGGCGAGGACAGGCACAAAGGAGCTCGACTGCCTCTTAACGCCCGTCTCGGAATAGACGGCTGGCAAATCTCATTTTCCTCCTTATTACCGTCCAATTAATATTTCCCTCGCGCAACGTACCCTCCCTCGAGATTTAATTCGAGAGGAACATCCACTGATACTTTTGACCGAAGAGCCGAGGGGCAGGGGGAGGGAAGGGGAGTTGAAATGTTTCCACCTAACCGAGAACGAACCGTGATTCGAAAGAGAGAGAGAGAGAGAGAGAGAGATTGCACTCGCGAGTGAGGTAACATCGTCGACCGTATGCGAGTGAAACGCGAACGAATGACGGCAGGAACGAAGACGACTCTCTCGGTCTTGGCGGAGCGAGCGTGCGCCACCGATCATTCAAATTCCTGGCTGTCGCGGCGCATCCACAGCACGCGCGACCAGTCGGGGGACCCAGTTGCGTTTCTCAGCGAAGCGGCCGATTGGCACGGTTTAGAGAAGACGGTTTAGCAATCCCTTTAACAACGCACGCCGTGAAGTGGGCCAAGTACTCCGCCGATGGAATGGACGAACGATGAGTGTGCCGGGGGGGCTGTTACGACACGATATGATAAGCGCGCTAAGCGTTAGGAGGAGCGCGCTCGCGTACACGCGGGACAGATCTCGGTTTCGATGGCTTAATAAAAAATGATGATTGATTAATATTCCGTCGTAAAGCTTATCGGTGGTCGGATCGTCGATTCTGCGCGCAAATCGCAAATGTCGTGACGAATTTACACGAATAATCGCCGACCGGGTCGGCCGGCCAGACAATGTACGACGTAAGCCGCACGCGCGGGGATAAAGAGTGAAAACCCGACGCGACGATAACTTGACGCAAATAAACGACGCGAATGTCCAATCGAGCAAACGGCAGGTACCGTAGGAATGTTGTTTCCGACCTTGTGGAATCGCACGAGCATACGGCCGAAGATGCAGAAGAAACGACCTCGAGTCAGCCGAGCAATTACCCGCTACACGGCGAAGAAATCGAAGACGAACAGGATCTCTCTCTCTCTCCCTCTCTCTCTCTGTTCCTCCTCCCCCCTCCTCTCTCCACCTCGATCGCGACGATTCTGCTCCGGATACGTATTTGTGATATTTTCGTTGCTTTTTTTTTTCCACCGACCAATTAATTCTCTCACCGTCTTCGAAAAGATTAAAAATCAACTTTCGCGCGCAGTGCGGCAGAATACGCGGACACGGCGGGCTTCCAGACAAAAAAGGAGTTATACCGCTTCATTATAATATAAGAGATAATTAGATCATCAGCGGAATCGGCATCGATCGATCGATCCTGAAATGCTTGCTCGGAGCCGGCTATACGCACGGATATACGCACTGCGTGCATTTCGGCTGGCTCTCCGGCGCTCGAAAATTCTAGCTCATCCTATTTATTTACGGCGCGAACACGAGCGTTTCTAATATACGTTCCCATCGGAAAGCGAACGTCAAACAATTACGATGCTAATACGGCGTAATATCCCGTGGATAACGTGTCCAAGGCTGATCATTAGGCCAGCAGTAAAATTACGCTCTCGCATAACTCGCTTCGCTACGCCCGCCGCTGCCCGAGATCGGGCGTTCGAGTGGCGGTTCTGCTCACCGATTGATCTGTTCCACGCGATAGTGGCGATCGAATTGACGGGTTTTCATTATTCAAGACCGCGACTTTAATATCAATTGAGATCAATGCAGCGGGCAAAGTGCCGAGTGCTGTAACCCGTCGAATGTGTGCTCGAATCTCTCATCGCGTCCGTCCCCAAACCATCCTCTAGAGGAACTCCCGCGACCTCTGATCGTTCTCCTCGTGCATGCCGAGAACTAAGACGGCGATTTTCGACATTCCCGCGTGAAGGTGCGAAAAAAAAATTCCAACGGATAATCGCGATGCGGCAGTTTCCCCAGCGTGGCGCAAGGCCGAGTGGAAAAGCGCGTGCTCTGTTCGGCGAGCGAGTGCGAGCCGAAGGAGTAGCTGACGAAAACTGCGCGCGGACGCGCGAGAAAGCGAGATTAGCTTCAGTAGCCGAATCGGTTGGTAACGTATGGCCGGCGAAAATGTCAGCGGGGTGACCGATTCCAATCGTTGCAGCAGCGAACCTCTGCGCTTCCGCAGAAATTGGCTACAGCAGCGATTAAAATCGCATTTACGCCGCTGGAATTTCGGATATCCGTATATTGCAACTCTAATTTAGCTGATGCGGCGAAATCTTCTCTCTTTCCGTGCGGAGCGGATATTCGATGAGTTTCGCGAGATACCTTTGCGTTCAACGCGCCTCCTCGGACGTTAATTAATCACGATTCTCCCGATCGGCGAAGAGAGCACAGGTGTCGGAGACACGGCGGTTCGGGGTGGCGCGAGGACGCGTTTAAAAGCCCGGCAATGAGGCGCGTGCGTTACTTGTGAATACACGTGGATCCGCACGCAGGCGAGTCTTATGCGGCGATAGCGTGCGGCGACGAGCGTGTGCACAGCGAGCCTCCGAAGGCGAATAACGGGTGCAGCGTTCAGGGCCTCCTTCGCGTGTCTCTTTCTCCCGGCGTCGCTCCATACAATCACTCCGCTCTCATATTTATAACATATTCATAATTATCATGCGCGAGCGAGAAAACCGAGGCCGGGGATCGATTTTGCAACGGCGACGACATAATCCTGCCTCGATGCCGCGCGCTGATCGACAGCAACGGCGGCGAGCCCGCCTCGATACAGCGAGAGAGACTCCCGCGTCAGATCTCGTTACAGAATCGCGGAATATGGCCGCGGTAATTCTATCACGAATTCTCGAGCCGTGAGCTCCTAGTGTTGCTAGGTAAGCGGAGTTTAAGCAAGCGGCCCCCGCGCGCGGACGAACGCTTCTAGGGCAAGGTGATTGGCTTACACCTCGAGGAAAGCGACTCGTATTCGCGCGCGCGACTACCGCTCGCGTTCGTATCGGAATTCGAGGGAAAAGTTGAACGCGCTAATTTCGTTAATTAGACGAGATCTCGGATGAATTTTCGTCACACCTCGTCGCACCGAGGGTGGACGCTCACCGACTCCGGTTAAGTTCGACCGACCGGTTGAAAGTCAATGGAATTGGCCGATCGCTTTTGACTGGATTGATCAATGCGATTGGTCAATTCCGTTGAGCTAACCGTCGGCTCGACTTAATCGGAATTGGAAAGTCACCCTTGGCACCGTAAATGCGACTAAATCTTGCTTCTTGGCATTACGCATGGTCGTCGCGTCAGATGAAAGAGTCTCAAAGTCGACAACCGCGTCAGCGCTCTGCAGCGCAGCGCCACGCATTGATGCTGTCACGTTCTCCGGGCATAGTGATGTCGGAAATTTCGAATTAGGCGCGTCACGACTGATTATTTCGCGAACCGGCGAGGACGCCGCAAAGCAGCAGTCGTGAACGACGAATGTTCAGAAACGATGCGAAATTCGAAACTTCCGATATCACTGTGTATATCTAGGGAGTGGACGTGCACGGTGACGATATGGAAATCTTCATCACCTTATCGCGCTTATTTAAATGAAATCACGTAAACTGTATACTCGAAATGGCAGATACACGAAATAGCATTTGAATCAGTGACGCGATCATAGGAAATCTACTCAAGGTCGGTTCGCTTTTCACCCCGCGTCGCTCGCGGATATTCGTGCGATCGGTAACTATCAGTCGCACATAACCAATTCTGGATCCGATCCAGTATTTAGATCCGGGGCGCGCATACGCAGAGTTCCGTTCAAATGAGTCAGACTTGTCGCGGATGTTCAAAAGTCTTGATTTCAGTCTATAAAGGTGTTTTAAAACATAAGAAATTGACCAATCGCACGGTTGATTATTCTCCTCGCACTCGACCGTGATTGCTCGATTTCTTAAGGCTTAAAATACTACTTATCAGACCGGGACTTAAGTCGACGTATGCTCGAAGCAACGAGATGCGTGGACGATAATTTCAAATCGACTGAAATCGGCTATGTGAAATTTGTGCGACGACGCGCGCTCCCGAGGTTCCCCGTTCGAGAGGAGACCCAAACAGACCTCGTTCTCCGGAATTGAAATCGCCGGAACCTCTGGCGCGCCTCGGCTTGCGTGGTTCAGCAAAGCAGTTAATGAAGGGTGTAAATTTTAATGTAACACGAACTTTTAAATAGACTCGAATGTTTCGTATCGAAGAATATAAGCAACGACACGTCTCGGCCGGCGAGAGCTAAACTTGACACGACGCTCGTTCTGTAGAAACTAATAATCTTCCGTTTTACTTCCTCCTTCTTTTTGAGAGACTTTCCATGAAGATTTCACGAATTCACGAAAGTCACATTGACGTTCTGCTAATAGAGCTTATACGACGGAGAGAGTATACGACTGTGATATGTGTGGCGTCGAACCGATGTATCTCCCCATTTATAGAAATCCTCATGAATGACTAATCACACGACACTTATAGAGTGTCGCGGAAAGTTCGACGTTCGTCCTGATGTACGGTCGTAGGTAAAGGACACACGTGAATCAAATCCGAATTCGCTTACGCGTTAATCTCAACGTTACGTCATCGAGGAATATTAAGCTCCTATATTACTTGCTGTAATGTGCCCTCAATACGCGCAACGTGGCGCTGAATAATGCATGAATGGAAATCACGCCGTTCCGACAAACTTTTCGCGAGTGACAACAGGTAGCGCGCGCTCGAATTCGCGAACACCGGCGATCTTTGTGTCATTCGCGTTCCGATTGAAACCGTTCGCCGGTAAATCTCGGTTTGTTCGAGACAATCGTAAAGCCGACGGACAAAGCGGCGATTACGATTCGTCTTTGGCCGCGCTAGTCTCGAGATAAACACGCCGCTCGCTATTGATAAATGAGACATCGACCTTGCGATTACGAGTCTTAGACGGTCGTGAAACTTTATATCCGTCGTAACGAATGCACGCGTACGAAGAGGGGGAGGGGAGAGGAGAAGAAGAAAAAAAAAAGCGAACGACCTCGCAAAAGTGACGATTATGAGTTGAAGCTCGTGTTTAGAAGCGAGAAGAGATCGAATCGGCCTTGCGATCGTGATAGTTAGGCAATTGCGTTGCACGTCGAATCGACGTACACGCGATCGACGAAGGAGGAAAGGAAAAAAGCGCGGCAGCCTCGAAAAAGTATCGATTAAAGTCCATTATCGTGCATTCCTTGGGCGAGTGTCGTTACGCGAGAGACGGCAAAATGAGTCCCACGTGCTGTAATTAGCGGGACTGATGGACGTGCGGACGTATTTATACGGTACTGTATAATAAAAATGAAAATCGTTGGCGTTTTATCGTTGCTGTTGTGTATTCGAGAATATTTATATGCGGCATAACTGATAATTGTGATTCCCGTAGATTTTACCGCTGTTTACCTCCGTCTACGGCGCGAGCATCATTAGCTATTATTACCGAGAGGAATCCCAATCGAAAAGCGATTACGATTTCACGGGATTTCACGGTCCTCCAGAAGGGTGGACACTCGCGAGAGAAGAGCCGATAAAAAAAACAGTGACCTTACCTGGTTTCCTGAAACGCGTGCAAACGCGATTCGCTTCGACGCGGGGGGAAAAAGCGTTGTTTGACTTTCGACGTGTTTGAAATGACACTAAACTCGCTGGGGAATTCGCATCGGTTTCTCCGGTTTACCGAGGCTTCCTCTCCGTCTCAACGGAAAACAACCGTCTCGTAACCGGCTACTTCCTCGTGTAATCACGGCGGACGCGTGCCACCTCGGCGGCTTGAATTTTTCGCGCTCGCACAGCTAAGTGTACTTGACTCTTGCGTCAGCCGTCTTGGCGATTCTCGAGCTCATGCAAATTTATGCACAGGTGTCCGGTCGTTGCACGGAATTCACCGAGACGCTACCAACCAGCGCGTGGCCGATCGCGCTTCTTCGTGCCTTCCCTTATTATCGTGCCGAATTTGCCGATTTTTGCCAGCGCCGAAGCGAGAGTAATTGCCGGACGAACGATTTGAAACTGCCGCGCGACTTCGAGAGACGATTGCTGAAATGAGTGAAATTTCGGACGTAACGAGAGATTTGGGGAATCTAATAATCGCCGGGACGGATGCTGTACGCACTCTCAGATGATAACTCAATGTGTGTACTTTCTCTGCGTGTGAACTTAACTCCGTTTCGACAGGCCTGCGCGAGAATTTCACTCGGCCGCTGGCTGCCGGTTGTTAAGACCAAGAAAGAGCGTTCCATCGAGTGATTTTCTGACGCAATTTTTTTCGCTCGTTTCGAAATTCAATATTTAAACAAGAAAGAAAGAAAGAAGGAACGATAAATCCCGAATATTCGGATCGCGCTGGCGCGCGCCAAGTCTGTCGCGTATAATTAAAGAAGTCGTATAATTAAGTTCGAACGCGTACGGTAGCGGTACTATTTCATCGACGGGCAGCTACTTTTCGATAATGAATGCAAACCGCGCATAATTTCATGGCGAATAATATGCGATACTGTTGAATAGAACGAGTCCAAGTTGCGAAAATATACGGCCCGTTTGTCGAAGCCCGTGGATTAGGATGTTGAGAGAGAGAGAGAGAGAGAGAGACAGGCTCAAACAAAACTTCTACTTGGCGTTAGAGAGACGCTTGTGCACGCAGTTTCATCAGTGATTTAAACGAGCGGCTCGATTCCCGCGCTCGGCTGTACTAAAGGTACCTAAGGTCTTTTCGCGATCGAACCTGTTGCTCTTGACACGATCAAGAACGCAAGTACGATAACATTCCGAGCGTACGTTTTTCACAAATACGTTACAAACTTAGTCGGATCTCAAGTTCATCGGACGTAATAAATCAATGGGTGAGATATACGTGACGATAAAATTAACGAGTCACGTTGGAACTGCGTGAAAGAGACGTGAAGTTAACTTGTCTCAAACAATTTATATCGAGGCGTCTTTTAATCAAGTTTTCCACACTCGTATTGTACGTTTATCAAAATGTTTCATGTATTCATTAATATGTCATTAAATGGACGTTACGCTTCTTCATATTCCTGTGAAAATCTGTCTGTGAGCTCCGACGCTTCTAACGTTCCAACGAATTTTCCGACGTTTCTCTCCGATTCTTTCGCGCATTGCGATTTACCTCTGTCGAGTCTAGCAGATTGCAACATTGATTGAGAAAAAACGACGACTCACCTCGATACTGTAGGACTTCTTGATGGCGAACATCTCACGGTTCTTCTGGGCGGCTGCGACTGCCATCATGTCTCCCTTATCACTCTTCTTTCCCGACAGGCTTCTCTGATAACGACTAATTTCGACGGTTTTTCTCGGCTCGACGGTTGATCGACTCGGTTGTCTCTCAATCGTCGTTTCTCGGCCTGACAAGCGCTCACTCGACGTGGATATGCAGAGGTGAGGAAGGTGCGTGCGTGCGTGAGCTCTTCACTGCCGCTTGCGAGAAATTCACACCAACGAATTCCCCGTTGATCTCGACGTTTCTTCCGCTCGAACTTTCCGCCGCGCGCTTTCCGTGCGTGTGTGTTTGTTTTTTAATATCCCGACGTTCGGCTGAGATACCGTCCTCTTCGGCCTCGATCCGTCCGGCTGCTACGGTTCGACTACAACAAACGACGAGGACGACGGCAACGGCGGCGACGAGTCTCTACTACTCAAGTCCGCTTTGGACGAAGCGTACGAGCGAATGCGTCTACGGGGCGGATTGCCGCCGCATATAAACGTTGCCTCCCTTCACCGCCTGCTGATGTCGGGGGTGCCCCCACCCCGTCGTCGTTTCGGGTGGTCCACCGGCAGCAGCCGTCACCACCACCACCGCCGCCGCTACCGCCGCCGCCGCCGCTGCTGCCGCTGCCATTGACGAAGATTACGAAGAGCGCGAGGTGTTCCGTCGCGACGCTCATTGGCACTTTCGTTACTCGTCCAGGACATCCATCGGGCCGCGGGGTATTCGGCAATATGGGCAAGGAGCATTCCGTTATATCCCGGACGGCGACTCGTTTCGAGTTCGAAAAGTTGGTTCGGAATCGGCCGTGATGAATCGGCAAGAACCGTCGTCCTTCGGGGCCTGCTTTATTGGTCCTTTTGCTTTCGCGAGAAAAAAGATCTTACATTAGGACCACGTCACCTTGACGTGGATTACCCAGGACGACGGTGCTCGACGATGGTTGGCGAAATGTAATCGCGCGAAATAGTTCGTACGGTGACTGGTGCTGATGAGGTATAATTCTCCTTGATCTCGCTCTCGTTGCTGGGATGATGTCAGTGAGTTCGCACGGGAGACGACGCGTATCCCGAGAGTGGTCCCGGCAGGATCGGCGAAACGCGCGTAATACCCGCCTCGGGACCTGGTCGTATCGCTTTCGAGCGAGTGACCGGGGTCCTAATATAGCCGCCTGAATTCAGCCGTATTTATAGGACGTGAAGCGCGACGTTTTTAATTCGGCGATTTGACTCGCTCGGTTTCGGAAGAGGGCACGTTCCAGCGAGAAATAACAAGCGGCGTAATCGGCCGATACCAGAGCAAGAATCTCGGAATTCGCACGCGGCACTTGCGAAATATCACGACGCACATCTAAACGCAGCGAGTAATGCGCGTGGTCATCAAGGCTATCGATTCGCAACGGATCGGGAGGGGAGGGGGGAGGGGGGGATTTTTCGACCGGGACGAATCGGACGAAAACACAGAGCGCAGGTCGCACGTGCGTACGTCCGTAGATACGATCGAGATCGCGAGAGAGGACAAAAGGAACGAAATTAGTGTTGAATAAACATGGCTCGTCTGTCGGGCGGCGGGCGATAACGATTAAGTCGGGGATACACCGATCGATATGCAAAGTCAAGCGGTGATTTACGAGCGATTATTTATCTCTGCCGTATCAAGACTCGCATTTTTACTCCGACATACAGTGTAAATTGCATAATGCGCCGGCCACGAGGATAAGTCAGGCAACAAATTAGCGACTTATCTTCCCGTCGTCACGTTTTGCTGAGAGAGAAAAAAAATGGGAGGGGGGAGAACACGTAATGGCGATGCGCCTTTTCCTCGGGATTTCCTCCAGATTTCGCCTGGAGGCGTCGCAAATGTGAAACCGCGAGATTCGAGCCCGCACCGACGTCATGGGGGACCGGCGTGACGTATCACAACCGGTACCGATTCGCCGTTCGCTCGTCACTTCTGTGCGTCAATGCACCGCGTATGTAGGTACGCGCGTAAGAGACGAGCGGCTCATGCGTGCAACGAACGACCGGTCGAGGAAAGATCTTCCGAGAGAAAATATCGTGCGCGCGATCGCGCACATTTTGCGGCTTTCTAAAGGCACGACTCCGCGAGCGGTCCGGCCTCCGCGTTGCGTTCGCTGACAATGGTGGGTTCGCGTGGTGGACGCGTGAGAACGATCACGATGAATATTTAACAACGACGGCACGTCCTTAAGAACCTGCTCGCGTTGTGATCTACATAATAGCGCGACGCGCGCGTACGGAAATAAAAGAATGTTAAATCCGCGCAAGACGCGCGTGCGTGCGCGTTACGTAACCGCGTTGGAAACTGGATAGATCCGGAGACTTCGGAAATTCGATTGTCCTTGACCGGTGATCGCGTGAAAGATCACTTAGATATATACGCGCTCTTGGAATTCCCGGAAAAGCCGATGCCGACTGTGTAAATGTAATAAAGATCGAAAGGGGAATACGCAATTTTGTTATTTAAATTAATGCGCGGGAAGCGGAGCGAGCGTGCGCGACACCGTGGGTGTGTTCAGCTTCCGACGCAGGTAGCAGCGATTCGAAGCGGCAGACAAGCTATGACCGTGAGGCGGGCCGGTACTCCAGTGATAATCCGCGTAAAAATTGCCCAGGAAGAAACGAACCGCAACATTTCGGAACTGGTCTTCCCGGCGTGTGTCAACATCGGCATTCGGCGTCCTTCGGCCGGCTTACCGCCGAAACCGGAGCTCTCCCGAAACTAAGGAAGCGGCATGCTCGAGCCTTGATTGATCCGTTTCGGCCTAATGACGGAAAGTACTATCGATTGACGCGTTTCATCCGAAAAATCATCCCCGCGGGACGGATGAATTAAAATGTTACAAAATCAAGAGAGAGAGAGAGAGAGAGAGAAGCTATTCGTGTGTCACGAGATAAAAAGACATCCATTTGGAAAGAGCGAGAGGAAAGATTTGTTGACTAACAAGCACCGTTAATGATTGTCCATCGGCTTTTGGGCAACGGCCTATCGGCGCGCTGAAGAAATTTTCTCCCGACGTCACTTCTCGGTCACGGCGCGCCGCCGTCGACGTCACGAGTCGCGCCGGAGGCACGAATAAGTTGGGAACTCCCCGGTGGCCGAGTTGAATTCCGCCGATCTCCTTAGCGACCAATCCGGTTCTGAACGGTGGATTCCCGGGCCGGGAGTTTCCAGGAGTAATCCCACACCGTCTTCGGCCGCCGTCGAATAAAAGAACCGTTCGAATTCGTCGCTCGGTCGTCGTGCCGGTGAATCATGTCGCGACGTATGATGCACCCGATGCACTTTGCGCCTTGAACCGCGCAAAGGTCACTTCTTTCGAGAGAAAATATCGTGCGCGCGATCGCGCACCTCTGAACCCGCATCGATAGTTTTCCGGGAGTCAAGGCGAAGATGCGCGGTTTTAAATGCAATTTAACGCGAACGTGGAAACGAATTGTAATGGTGTTGGTGTGCGCACAGAGAAAAAGTTATCTGTGGACTTGATAAAATTCTTTTAATTGAAACAAATTCGTCTTTCGAACTAGAATAAACAAGCGAATGTTTGATTCAACAAACAGGATTGTTTGGTTTTTCTCAAACAATAAATATCTTTGCGTCAAATAACGCATTTATTTTGTGTTCTCGCCCAAATATTACAGTGGTTGTTACAAGTAATGAATTATTTGAAAGAAGTAACATTATCCTGGGAAAATATTAAAAAGCTTCTTCATTTCTGTGGAAAAATATTTAATATATAATAGAATCGATTTTTTTTATTGATTACCAAATATTATACGTTTCCACAAAATAATACTGTTTTTTTTTATCAAACGTGACTTATTCTAGTGAAACAACGTTTTTATTTAAACAACATGATATTTGATCTTACATTATATTGTTTATATTAAAGAAACCCGAGTCAAACAAATATATCTACTAAATCTAAAGGAAAACCTTCTTCCTATGTGTACGTTTGACGTGTGTGGCTACATAAGGAAATAAATTAATATATATAAACGTACTTTCCCGAAGTTAGATATCTTTTTAGGAAGATAAAATAGAAATGAAAAATACAGACGAATAAATTAATATTATTCAGCGGTGCAACGAATAATAGAAATTTCTATGTAATCCCTCAAAAGTTATCTAGTTATATAGTTTCCATTTCGTGGCATTTAAGTAAGAAAAAATCGAAAAAGGAAGAAAAAACAACAGTTTTTAGGAGAGGTAGGTTAGAAAATGTGATAATCGCGAAAGCTCACTTCACGCGCAAAATTCATCGATGCGAGCGCAGCAGGATTCCTTAGTGCCTTCGGAATGTGACATCCTAAAATTAATCCGGTTCTCATAACAATCCTAATCACTCCCGATTATAAAACACACTGTGTTTATATATTTTTTTCTATCATTCTATCTTTAACATGTACACACGCCTTGGGATTTATCCCTTTCACATTAACATTAATCAACAGTATCTGCAAACACATAACGTCTTACACTACTCATTAATTGATAACTGATATCCACGTTGCCTAGTGACCCTTGGCAGCAAAAAAGATCTGCGCTTATGTTTACCGTCGTATCGTCTATTACATACGTCCTCTCTCGGAATAATTGCGCGAAGTAAGAATATTGACGAGGAGGAGAATTCGGAGAAGATTAATTAAGAATGGGAGAAAGAAAGTCAACGTGTGAGTATCACGCGGTTCAAGATTGTTCGAATACTTTTATTGATAGAAAAATCCATATTAAAATTAGAAAAATCCATATTATAATTTGGTTGCAAACTAAACAACAAATTATGTAATATAAGACGGAAAAATAATGAAATTTCATATTTGTTTTTTGATTTTATAGTAAATATGAAATATCATAATTATTTATAACTAACAACGCTGATATTATGAAAATCCTCAAAGTTCTATTCAAATATAAATTATAAATTTTAGCGTAAAATTTTTTAACTTCTTAACAGAAACACTTACTTTTAAGAACTTTTCTAACAATGTTAGTTATATATTTTGAAAATCGGCAGAGGAAATTTTCATACTTCGTGCCCTAAACTTTCTCAATTGACGATTTCGCATTCTGAACTTTCTCAAAATACTCAATCTCGCACCGAATGCGATTGGCCGGACGACTCGACGCAGGTGAGTCACTAGTAATCTTTAACCGGTGAGTTCAATTATTGTCACGCGGAGGGAACTTTAAGGACAAAGGAATCGAATGTTTCCAGAATTACGTTTCGCGCTGTAAAATCCTTGCGACGGAGGTCACTCGATCATTTCCGACCCTAGAACACCGCGATTCGTGACATGTGTCGAATATTTCTGGCAGCGCGTCGACACACAAGTTTTATTTCAACATGCACAACGTGACGTTTCATTAAATTTTATTATGATAATAAAATAGATAAATATACAATGTCGCTGTTTTCACTGTTTATA